AGAGACTCCCTCCTGGGCACACAGAAGACTGGGCGACTTGGAAGGCGCTGAACAGACTGCACTCTGGCACCAAGAGATGCAGAGCCAACCTTAGGAAATGGGGCCACAAAGTGGAGTCCATGACATGCGAGTGTGGGGAAGAGCAAACCACTGACCACCTGCTGCAATGCAACCTGAGTCCTGCCACATGCACAATGGAGGACCTCCTTGTGGCAAAACCAGAGGCACTCCAAGTGGCCAGATACTGGTCAAAGGACATTTAATCAACTACCAAACTCACAAATTTTGTGTTTTGTCTTTCTGTTTGTTTGTTTGTTTTGTTGTGTTAGAAATGTAATACAATTGTCTGGTTGCCCCTGACACGATAAATAAACAAACAAATAAATACCTGCGGACTACAGGTGACACACAATTTGGAAAGTCAACAGTGCCTAGCCTTCAAGAATGCAATTATTTTGTGAAACCTTGGCTCGGGGAGGTTCCACACCTGATGGGCAAGGAAGCTGCCGAGCCCCATTAGCTCCTTCCTACGCCAAAGTATCTGCAACCACATCTGAGGCCACCCACGCCAACCAACGGGCCTGTCAGCCTTCAGCTCGATTGGCTTGAAAAGGTCATCTCGCTTTGAGATCTTTGCACACGCATGCACAAACTCTTGGGTTTGACACCAAAATAGAACTTCTTTTTTTGCAAAAGGAGGGCAACCACAATGTCAGATGATCAAAACAACTCAGCTTTCAATCAAATCGTTGCGACTAAAAACAACCCACACTCTGCCTACCCGGTCAACAGAGAGATAATTGTTGGTCTCTCGCATCGTTACACACGGCACAATTGTAGTGCTTCAGTTCCACTTTAACAACCATAGCTACATCCCATGGATACCTGGGAGTTGTAGTTTATTGAGGCATCGAGGCCGTCTAGCTGATTGCCAAATGACCCAAATTTGGCACAAATACCCAATACATCCAAGTGGAGTTAGGAGGGAGGGATTGGTTTTGTCATTTGGGAGTTGTAATTGCTGGGATTTATAGTTCACCTACAATCAAAGAGCATTCAGAACCCCACAAATGATGGG